GATATATATATAAAAATGGTAGACTGAATGACATCGATTCGTGATCATTCGACTACTTTTAAAATTGTCGATAGCTGCAAATATTAAAAAAAAATGGGGGTTAATTAATAACTAATTTAACTAATTTTGAATATTCAATAAACAACACACCATGTAACGAGTAAGATGTAATATGTAGTATTTTTGTTTTTATCAATTTTTATAATTGAAGAAGTACCAACAAATACACATAAACAATGCATATACAATCAGGCAATCAACAATTAATATACAAAAGTGTTCCAATGTGGAAATTTGAATGTAAAATTTTATAAGTCAACTTAATAATAATATAATTACAGTTATCATATACAACAATATAATTGCACATATTATCGCAATTATGATAAGTAAAACATGGTTTTTTGTCTTATAATTTTACATTCATATTTCTATTTACTGCTATATTTTATATATACATATTTAACGTGGCATAGGATTTGTTTTCGACTATACAAGATTCTGCAAATTGTGCAATACGATAAGTTCGTATTTTTATATTAGAAACGAAAATACTTAATCGATATTTACTGATGACATTTCAATGTTTGTAATATCCTCATATTAGAATTCATATTTCATTCAGGTATGCTTTTTATGTCGTTGCTTGTTCTGCTCTAGTGTAATAATATTTGTTCGCGCCAGAATCATGTTAGATGTCGCCAGTTGATATTGGTAATAATCAGACAACACCTTTTCTCTGGCAATCCTCAAAGGTTTGGACGTAATAGCTGATCTGACGGGTGAACAAGCTCTCTCGCGTTGTCTGGTCACGTACACCGTTTTGCTTGTGCTTTCCATATGAGTTTTTTGTGATATATTTCGATCATTAGTTATTACTTTATGAAATAAATACTTTTTAATCAGTGCAAGTGTTCCTTATTTGTGTTTGGAGTTCATTTCTTCCTCAGCATCCGAATTTATAGCGAACTGAGATATCCGAACTTGAAGCCGCCATCCAACTGGACCGCCGAGCACGTAGAGAACGTCGAGTATTTTGCTTAATATATTCAATAAGATCAAATCCTCGGAATAGTTATTGAGTCAAATTCAATTAGCTATTCCGAAAAGGTCTAACTAACCCCCATCCGTAACATTGGTCCTTCGACGCCGGGATCCTAATTTTGATTAGGATTTATTGAATATATTGAGAAAATAAAATCCAAGATGGCACCTAAATTTGACGTGGGTGCAGAGATTGACCGATTGACAGCGAAGAGCGAAATGTATTTTTCAATAATGCAAGAAACGTATGACATTTCTCAACAAATTACCACCAATACGGCAAGTAAGTTAAAATTTCTTGAAAAATTACACCTTATTGAAAATGCACGAGAACAATGCATAAAATTAAGCGACGAAATAAACAAATTAAGACATTTAGAGGATCCGAGTTTTGTTCCTGAGTATGCCGACATAAGGGCCTTGGAAATTTTGTACTCAAAAATCAAATATATAGAAAAAATGTTGGATAATCAAAATATAAGTAATTCGTCAATACCGGACAGTGTTCCAAATCATCATTTACCATCCATAGAAGTTCCAAAATTTTCCGGCGATATACAACAATGGCCTTTATTTTATGAAACCTTTAAAGCATTAATTCATGAAAATACAAGATTAGATAACGTATCCAAATTTCATTTTTTAAAAGGTGCGTTAGAAGGTTCCGTACTAAAAATTTTTAATTCCATACTACCAACTGCAAATAATTATCCGATTTTATGGGAAGCACTATTAAAAAAATACCAGAATAAACGATATTTAGCCACCACTTACTTTAAACAGCTCTTATCGTTTAAAACCATTACATCATCACAAATAGACTTATTTCTGGAACAATTCGATACAGCTGTACAAGCCCTTTCACAATTAAACCTTCAAGATGCATTTGACTTTATGATAACGTCTATGGCATTCTCAAAACTCGACCCCATTTTGCAGGAGAAATTTGAGCATTCTTATCAAGGAGAATTTCCTAAATACCAAGATCTCCTCAAATTTCTCCATAAGTCGCAACAAGCGAAAAATCAAGTTTATGGTATGACAACTATAACTAACAATCACACATATGGTGAGCAAAAGGATAAAAATTCCAATTAGTCGATCGTTTCTTTTATCGTTTCTTTTAAAAGTAAATACGAAAAGAAGTGCTTTGTGTGCCGGGAACAACACGCCATATTTGCATGTTCAAAATTACTAGAAATGAACATTCCTGAACGGCAAGATTGTATAAAAAACTTAAACCTATGTGTGAATTGTTTAAGCCATAAGACGACAGTTGCGTGTCGATCGAAGAAAACTTGTATTATATGTAAGGCACCGCATCATACATTGTTGCATACTGATAAGAATCTTGCAAATACGAATCAAGGTAATCCGTCGAATTCGAAATCTAATAATACTGTTTTATGCACTACCAGTAACAACAAACTCGCGCATAATACAACAATATTGCCGACAGCTGTAACAAAGGTTTTTACCAAAAAGAAAAATACTCCACTACGTACTATAATTGATTCAGCAAGTGATAAAAATTTCGTTACATTAGCTTGGTGTAGAAAGGCCCATTTGAAAGTTCAACCAGTTTCAGCCAAAGTAATTGGATTAGGAAATTCGTCACAAAACGTAATAGGATTTGTTAACTTCACTTTAAAATCCACAATCAATCCATATCAATTGCCAGTATGTGCATACGTTGTGCAAGAAATTGTGAGAAAACAACCACCAACCACGATTCCAGTATCAACAATCCAATCATTCTTGAAGTACCCACTAGCGGATCCAAAGTTTTATGTGCCTCAAACGGTCGACGGCATATTAGGATGTGATGTTTTCAGCGAAGTTATGGGTACTAATAAGGTGAAAAATGGTCAAGGTTCACCTATAGCACTAGAAACCCGATTGGGTTATATAATAATGGGTTCGATATCAGATTCACTTCAACTTTCAAGTTTTTCCATGCAATATGATTGAAAATCTATGACTTTCTTTCTAATATAGTATGTCTCCTTACAACGCTTCACTTTCGATCAAAATGCAGCCTTTGGCGTTTCCAGAACTACCTGAACACTTGATCCGACCTAAGAATTGGTTATGTTGTGTCGGTTTTGGGAACGAAATTATTTCTACTTAGTCCTCTCAAAGGATTAATATTCTCCATGGAGACTCAATGATAGTGGCCATTAGTGGCCTTGTTGAGCTCAGTGGTGATCCTCAACTTCCTACCTACACCTTTATTGACTTTGGCGGTTTTGCCTGCTCCATTGGATGGAAGAAAGAGTAGAAGTTTTCTAGGTGCCGATGGAGTGATTCGAGTGGTCCATATCCAAAGAATTATAAGGTTATAAAAGGTATCCCTTTTAGACTGGGGAATATGTTCGCGCCAGAATCATGTTAGATGTCGCCAGTTGATATTGGTAATAATCAGACAACACCTTTTCTCTGGCAATCCTCAAAGGTTTGGACGTAATAGCTGATCTGACGGGTGAACAAGCTCTCTCGCGTTGTCTGGTCACGTACACCGTTTTGCTTGTGCTTTCCATATGAGTTTTTTGTGATATATTTCGATCATTATTTATTACTTCATGAAATAAATACTTTTTAATTAGTGCAAGTGTTCCTTATTTGTGTTTGGAGTTCATTTCTTCCTCAGCATCCGAATTTATAGCGAACTGAGATATCCGAACTTGAAGCCGCCATCCAACTGGACCGCCGAGCACGTAGAGAACGTCGAGTATTTTGCTTAATATATTCAATAAGATCAAATCCTCGGAATAGTTATTGAGTCAAATTCAATTAGCTATTCCGAAAAGGTCTAACTAACCCCCATCCGTAACAATATTTTATTTTTAACACCTAAACTATTTATACATTTTAGAAATGTTAATGTCTTTCACATACACGTGCAGCACTTTTCTTTCAACTTTATGTGCTTTCGCTTTTGGCTTTACTATTTACATATAGCAATTTGTGTATGGAATAAGAAAGCTTCAGTGTTTTCAAAATAATTAAACGTTTCGGATAAACGGTTTGTCTCCTTCCTCAATAATTGCTTCGTACATTTTTCATATATAATTGTCAGCAACCAAATAATTTAAGAACTTTGGTACGAGCGGAATGCCCTAGACAGCCGGGCGTTGCATTTAGTGGACGGCCTTAAAATGAACGAACGTTGCATGCAACTTTACTCAGAGAATTGTGAGCAAGAGGTAAATTTAAATTCTGTAGCCTTGATTAACCGGCAGAACCAGGACTATATTTTGTAACCTAGTACGTACTTCTTGTAGCATTTTTATGGAGGTGTAATTACAGGGAGTTGCGATCTAGTTTTTATATGATGGTTTACCACTTTGTATGACTCGCCCCTCTCTTTGAAAAGTTTTCCATGTGTGTCGGTCAATTCGCTAAATCTCCTCTCCTGGTCTTCGTCTAGCGTTTTTGCTTCGAGGGTACACATGGGATTAAAATACTTTTTCTCTAAGTATTCTGTGAATCGTAAATCGAATTCATTATTCTATGGTTTCGATAAATCCTCGTTCCTCAGACAGTCTTTTGTTTGAATCTCCAGTTGAATTAATTTTAATCGCAGTTGTTTGGTAACAAAATCCGAGCAATTTATGAATAATCATTTAGAACATTATTTACTCCCGTTAGTGGTACGTTCAAAGAGGTGCTCATTGAGTTCCCCGAGGGGAGACTCATGAGTTAAGCAAATAATTTTACCAATCACTAATAATCACGATTTATTAACACAATAACAATCACAAGAACTATTTAATATAATAGGGTCGTGCCTGGGTATAAGGCCGCCTGCGTGCCAGCAAATATAGCCGCCCCTGTAAAAAAAATATATATATATTTATAAATATACATGCGCAGTTCTCAGAATGAAAATTATATATAATTTAAATATAACATTACAATTAAAATAATACTAATAATTAATAGTTTAAGTAACATCATTTAAAGTTTACTCGGCGCGATGTTTTTGAAGCAAAGTCTTCAATCGCCTCCTGAATACTAAAATGATCAGCAATTTCATTTTCTATCGCTATTATTGACAAATTACTAAGACGTTCTTGAGACATTGATGTTCTCGGGTAATTTTTAATTATTTTTAGTTTTGTAAAACTTCTTTCTCCACATGCAACAGATACAGGAACTGTCAGTAAAAGTTTTAAACTTTGGGAAAGACGTTTCCAAGCTGTATTTATATAAAAATTTAATTAATTCTTGAGGGTCTTTCCTTTCTTTTATAAGAATTTTTAAAGAAACTAATTCATCGAAAAGTTCTATGCCACTGATATCGCAGGATTCATCGCCATCTTTAAATTTGTTTTGTAAATCGAAACAATTTTGTTTTATTTCGTTGAGTTCCATATCAATAAATTTATAAAGAAACCCAAAAGAGTTTTCAAAGTTTGATAGTGTTTAGAAACGGGTGGTCAATGATGAAACTGCCGTATCAATTATGATATAGTAAAAATTAATTTTAAAGTTTTCTTTTGGTGTCAATAGATGTCTTCGTCTCCTTCATAGCTGAATAGTTTTCGGTGGCGTCGGCGGCTTACACTAATTTCAGCAGGAAAATCTGGTACTGCTTCTAATACTTCACAAAGTTTATTAGCCATTTTCAAATAATTCTCAAAACTCTCATTATTTCTTATGCTTTCAAAAATTTTCAATACATCTTTTAATTGATTGGGCGCACGAACTAATGTTCCAAGAAACTTTCTGCATTATTTTACTAATGAAGTCCACCTTTTCCAAAACTTTATGCCATATTATTATTGAACATATGAATTTATAAGATTTAATTTTCATTGCCAAACATTCAGCTTCATGTCGAACTACTGGCGTAAGAGATTTTTCGAGGCTATCATAAATTTCACCTAATTTGTGGCGCAGTGGTCTAATTGCTTTAGTTTTTGCTTCCCACCGAGTTTCACAAACTTGTTTTAATGTTAATGTTTTTATAGAGTTTTTTAATATTTGCCACCTAAATGGTGAACCGCTGAAAAAATTGTAAATAGCTGATATGTTACTAAAAAATCTACAGTTGAATTCGTTTTTGCAGCCCAATATGTTTTCCGGACATATTACACCCATTATCGTATCCCTGGCCCCTCATGTAATTAATATTTAATCCTAGATGATTTAGCTTTTCAATTAAGAAGTTATATAAATAATCTGCAGTGGCTTTTTCTGATTGATAAAAACCAATAAAATTTTCTCGTATTTCAACTCATCATTTTCAATATGTACATACCTGAAAACTAATGTGATTTGCTCGACATGCCCAGCATCCGGGATACAGTCTAAAATCACAGAAAAATATTTTGCCTCTTTTATAGATTTTAGTATATAATTTTGAATTTGGGTCGCAAGTATAGAAATTATTTCATTTTGAAATCGATTTCCCAGGTAATGTGGCATGTGGTTTTCTAAAGCGATTGATTTTTGTGCTCGCTTTATGTGATCTGCCATTATATCATCGAATTTTCCTATCATTTTGATGGCCTTCAAAAAGTTACCATTATTTTTTTCGTACAATTTGTTCGAAGATCTTCTAAAAGCTAAACACTGTCCAGCTAAAAATTGCACCACAGATATCATTTGCGTGGCAATTTGACACCATCGTTTTTCCTCAGCATTATAATAGCGTTGCATATCCTTATCAATTGTGGTTTTCCTTTTTAAATTTAACTCCAATTCTTTCCACGAGCTGCAGTTTTGGATATGTTGAGATGTTTTTTCGTGGCGAGGTAGTATTTCTGATGTGTGTTGCCAATCGTTGAAGCCTTCGTTTACTAATTTCATTTCTTGTTTGCTAAATAATTTACAACAAACGCAATATATGATGTCATTTTTCGGTGAATAGATTAACCACTCACGATTGAACTTTTGACCATTAGACATTTTTCGATAAAAATAAACATTTGAAAACGATCTTCCTGATTGATTTTCTGCATATGCTGATTGTACATTTTGAACAGGGCCCTTTTCGATTAAAATATCTAGCACTTTATTGGTAAGTGCCAAAGGCCAGGTTGCTGGATCATTCAGTTCCATACACATCGCAGAATAAGCTTCATCAATTTCATTAATATCGTCGATACTTGCTACTGCTATATCTTTAATTTCATCATTGCTATCAATATTGTCATCAACATTTGCGCCATCGGTAGATAATTTATTTTCAGTTTTATTTAAATCACTAATTGAACTTGTTTGACTACTGCAAGTATTTCCCGTTTCTGAAGATTTCTCCAAAAATTTTTTTAGTGAACCAAACATTTTGTTGGATTCATTTTGTTTTTCCTCCCGCTTTCTCTTATACAGGGCTCCAGACAATCTTATAGCTTTTCTATCAGACATTCTTAAGCTTTTTACCAAAATGTTAAAAATATCAAAAATAATTTATATTCAAATTAGTAATACATTTTTCTTATTATTATTAATAAATATGACGAAATTTTTAGCATGGAACAAAAATTTTACTTACCCTGGTAAACAAAATTTTCCTTTATTACTTAAACTTTAACTATTACACGCTCAAAACACTTAATTAATTAATACACACTGAATAACTTAACGCTTACGCACGAACTAATCGCCCTTTTTATGCGTATGGCTGTTTTTAACCAAAATTATTGTTTATATTATATTCGATAAAGTGCTTGAAGTCTCTTGGAAATGTTAAGATTATGATAAGAAAAGATGAATTCATAATTGTATATATTATAAAATAAACTTTAACGCCTCTTGAAATTGTAAACAAACATCTCGAATTACCGTCAAGAGATATGTTGTTATATGCTTATGTTAGTTTTAACGTAAATCAATCAATGATTGCCAGTGTTTTATTTGTGGTCAGGTACGGAACCAACTAGTCTGTTTTTAAATTTCAAAGCATATATTGTTTAACATGGTTTTATATCAAACTGTTAAGTATAAATCTCATGTGTGAAAACAAATCCTGCTCAATTATCCAGAGAAAGATTTCGCCGAAGCATCAAAAACTACTCTAATCGTATTGAAGTTATTATCCTTCACAACAGGGTGATGTGGCAAGAAATATAAGTTATTTTGAATTACTTCATCCTGAGTAAGTGAGATCTGCTCAGCGTGCCCTAGTTCAATGTATTCATTCACAAACCGTGAATATGCTGCAAACAAGATACTATCTTTAGAAAACCGCCTCTCTAAATTCAAAAACCTATGTTTTGCACCTAAATACGATGATCCTAGTTTATCAATTTTACCATCTACAAATTTGTTGTCTTGCACTATTTAAAAGAGCTCTCAACTTCTCATGACTGCCCTTTTGTATTACAGGTATGCTATCAATGCTCTGCAAGTGAGCACTGACAATTGAAAATGGATTTTTGTAAGTTTTAATTACAAGATCATATGCTACTGCATAATTTTCATTTGTGAGTCTTATAGTAGATATTAATTCCAAAGCTGATAATGTGAGAGCACCTTTTAAATAGTGCAATTTCTGGACTGGCGCTAATTTTGAATTATTATGTATCAATGAATTAAAAATGTCTATAAAAGCCGTCCACTCACTATACTCCCCATCAAATTTTGGTAACACAATGTCTGACAATTTCACATCTATCACGCTACTTGTTAATTTTTCGGATTTTTGATGGGAGTCAATAATTGATTTTATCTCAGCCATCATATCAAAGTATAATTCAGAGTACTTAAGGTACTCATCAGTGTACACGCCTGGAGACATGCTTTCAAGCTGCACGTACACCTCATCCCAGTTGTGGATACGTTCAACTAGCTTCTGCTTCCGAACAGAGAGACCCTTTACGTTGTCGCCCTCCTGTAACATATTTGTTGATGGCATTGAATGAGGCCTTAATAATTTTATAGGTGCCTTCCAATGAATCCGCATCCGCCATTATACGAGCCAGTTATACTATACTAAATTAATATTATTACTACAAGTGCTACACAATGTACAAAGAAAATGAAGAGATCTTAACACATATTACTCAGTCAATTAATACGGGAACAAAGTCAACAAACACACTTATATGAAATGTGTAACAATAGTGAGGTTACTGCAATGCATAGAATTATGAATGACTCACGAACCCCGTGTTTTGAAATACACGAGTCAGCGATGATCCTAATTTTTGTCTTCCACGTGGGATCCTAGTAACACGATATACTCCCCAACTTGTGTAGTAGCTTGTCGATTATCACTTAATCATCAAGTTGTACGAAATTAGTGATTGAATGAATACCTTTTTCTTGCGCTGCGAGCTGAATCCTAACCTCAAAAATTTGGAACTCCCAAATCTTTAAGTGACGACGATGATTTCAGCGTCCGAACTGCTAGCTTGATTAAGGATATTCTTGTTGCTCTGCTTTTTGTTTACGAACGACATAGACAATTTCAATGCCGCATTCGTAAACAAAACAATACACGCCGGTGATACTACTTGTATATAAAAAACTTTCCTCACCACAGTGTATAATAATTCTCAAAAATAAAGCTTGCACTGATGAATATCCGTGAGAAAGACCAAATTATGGTATAATGAAATACTGGATGGGTTATGAGTTAATGTATTTGACACGATGTTTACTCCTCGGCGGTATATGTACAAGAGAGAGATTACAATCTATGCAACTATTGCGGAAAGTCATGTCAAAACGTGAACATTACGTTTTGCATGACATGTCGCCAACATAACAATAACGCGTCGTTCTGACAGTACGAACGACGCGCGCGAAGCTTGAATTCACAGTTAGAACTATGAATAATTCTGTCCACTTATCAATAATCTATTTACTTCGTCAGGATATTATATTTATATTTACATGAGATGTTCATTCTTCGACGGCAAAATTAGAAAAGGGATTAATCCTAAGCATTAACGTACTAAGTGTAGCAATTCCCGCGCTCAAAAGTGCAGGAACTAGGCGACCATAGAGTTATTCTCGGTCGAACATTCAAAATGCCGTAACATTCGGCCATCCTAAACTTCACTCGTCCCCGAGTAAATAGTTTCTAAAACGCGCTGGTCTATGGCTCTGACGTTGTGGGCAACTCCTGGAATCTTCCTGTCTCAGATGATCTCCTTCCAGTCCTGCTTGATCTTCTTTCAGTCCTGTCCGGTCTTCTCCCAGTCCCTGGTCTTCCTCTCTCCGTCGTCGTCCTCTTCGGCTCCAACGGTGTTCTCTTCTTCATTTGCGGCAGGTTTCCACAGCTTCAGTTGAGATACATGAGCTGTAGTACGGTATCTTCTTCCGGTTGCATCTTCCTGCATGTTGATGATGCCGTAAGTATCTCCTGGTAGTATTCTGTAGATCACCATTGATCCTCTGCAACTTCACGGAATCGCCCGTTAGGATTGGCGCTGTTTTGCCATACACCATGTCGCCTATGTTCAAATGCACGTTTCGATGAGCATGTTTGTCATATCTCTCTTTGAATTTCGCCTGTGACATCTCAATTTTCTCGAGAGCATCTTTTTGGAGTATCACTGGTTCTGTATAGCGCTCTTCTCGTTCAGTCAGCTTCCGTAGTGGTCCATAATCCCTCCCTGGTATGTATCCATACAGCAGCTCAAAGGGGGTCCGTCCCGTACTCTTGTTGAATGATGAGTTCAAGTCCCACGCTACAGTCTTCTGCTTCCTGTCCCAATCCTTGCCGGTCTCGTCCTCCAGTGTCGCCTGATTCACGAGTAGTTCAGCGTGTGTCGAATTCCATGTCTCGTGCAGAAGTCCTGGAATCCCTTGGTTGTGAAACAGGTTCCTCGATCCGTAATCAACCTCATTGGGGCTCCATATGTCAGCACAAAGTCTTCCATCTTCCTGATCGCAGTTCGCGCTGATGTATTCCTACACGGCTCCAACCTAACAAATTTAGTCAAATTTCAAATTAGAACAAGTATATATTTGTTCTGTTTGCCACTCTTGACAAAAGGTCCCAAATATTCTACATGAACTATTGCAAACGGTCTCTCGCCTGGTGTTATTGGGTGCAGCTCTCCTGCCTTCTTACCAATTTGGGCCTTTGTCAATCAGGCAGTGCACGCTTTAATATGTTGTCTAATATATCAACGCATTCCTGGAAAAAATTAAAACCGTTGCATCTGATGCAACGTACGATCCAATCCAAAGTGTCCGCCATAATCATGGAATCTGATTGCCATCACCTTCCTCACAGTTTTGGGTATCACGTACTTCTCTCCATCACCTGTGGATTTGTACACTATACTTGACCTTACCAGATATCCTCAACCTCCGACTTTTAGTGTGGACTTCTCTCAACACTCCGTTTGGATAAAACCTCTATTTTTCTCTTTAATAATGGATCGTGGTGTTGATACACTAACACCTCGTCCTCTTGGGTTGTCATGCTATAGATGGTAACCACATCCTCCAGCTGGTCCATAGCAGAAGCTTCTTCTGTTGGAGCCCTGCTCAATGCATCCACATGCTGCATTTTCTCACGTGGTCTATGCTCAATGTCAAAGCTAAACTCTGACAAAATGGTGTATCATCTCACAATCTGAGGATTTTTCGTCTTATTGGCATTCAGGAACACTAATGACTGGGAATGTGTAATGATAGTAAAATGCAAATTAATTAACAGACTCCTCAGTCTAGTTACGCCCCATATTATCGCCTGGAGTTCTAGCTTGCTGGAACGGTAATTTCCCTCTGGTTCATTAGTCCTGCGGCTGATAGCATACACAGGGTGCATTAGCTGATCATCCCCTCTCTGCAAAAGCATGGCTGCTAGTCCCAGAGAACTTGCATCTGTATGCAGCTCTGTGCGCCTGTCAGGGTCAAATATTTTCAGCAGAGGTCTGCTCGTAAGTGCGTTCTTTAAATCATTGAATAATTCCTGTCCATGTGAACTTTACATCAGCCTTCAGGAAACCAGTAAGTAACCTGCTCCTCTCTGCAAAGCGGGGTATAACCAATGAATCTCCTCACCTCATGAACATTCTTTGGTGCAGGAAATTCCTCTATGGCTTTCACTTTCCGTGAACCAGGCTCTATTCCCTTGCTAGAGATTTCCATCCCCAGGTAGCTCACCTTCTCCTTTAAAACTCGCACTCTGAAAGTTTGATAGTCATACCTGCTTTCTTTAATGCCTCTAGCACGGCTAACAATCTTTACTTCAAGTCATTCCAGTTCCTTTCTGGAATTAAAATATCGTCGAGGTAATATAATACAACCTTATCCCTCAGAGGTCACAATGTGAAGGCTCAGTTTGGAGAAGTAGGATGGTGCATTCATCAGCCCAAAGACCATCCTCGTTAACTGGCCTGTCTCATCTGGGGTAATGAAAGCAGTCTTTTCCATTGCCTCATTCGTTAAGGGAACCTAGAAGTATCCATGGGCTAAATCTAAAACAATAAACATTGTGTTATTAGCCAATAATGCCAAATGGTCGTCCATGATTGGCAAAGAAAAATTCATTCGCTCTGTCTGTCTATTCAGAGCCCTAGATCACGACCACCATGCGGGATTCTCCGGTCTTCTTCTGTGTCAGTAGCACTAGACTAGCATAAGAGGACTCAGCATCCGTCACAATCCCAGCTTCCCTCAACTCTCCAACAATGCGGCTAATTTCCTGCCTCTCTAATTTGCTGGCTCGATAGGGCTTTGCCCTGACTGGTCGGCTGCCTGGTATCTCCTTAACCCTTTTAGTGCCAGGCGAAATGGAGGTGCCTATGCGAGAAAAACCGGCCGAATTTCACAGTTATACAAGGGTTCGGGAAAATGCTTATAAAAACCAAACGAGAAACGATATTTACATGATTCAAAAAGCTGCGTATTATAGATGAAATACAAAACGAAACAATGACACTAGTTTTTTTGTACTCATTTGAGAATTATAGAAAAAAACAAAGGTATATATGTTTATAAATAAAGTAAAAGTTGAGTTCTCTCGTACAAAACGTGTTTGCACATACAAACAGCCATATTTTCACCACAATTTTATATGGGTCAACTATAATGGGAGAAAAAATGGTCAATACTATTCGGGAGAAAATGGAGAAAACTACTTTTTTCCAATATTTGATGGCTCTTCTTTCATCTAAGTATGAATATAGCATCACGTCTGACGTGTCTACGCCTCCCATGTGTTTGTTATATTCAGCTACGATTGCTGGTTTTTCGACCTGTATTTGTGCATTCCTTTTCCTGATTGTAGTCGTTTTGTTCTGAGCCTTCTCAAATGTGGACATCAGTAAAACATTTTTCTTCTGCGACTTTTTTTCCCGGTACGCTAATAGTAAGACTTCATTATTATTTTGTGTTATATAAAACACTGTCGACAAGTACCGATAAGGGTCCAAATCCACAGCGATTTACGCCGCAGATCGAATATCGCCTGAGTGGCGACCATCGGTGTTTATGTTAGACTTCGGTACCTCTAAGCGATACGAAAAGGTCGTCGTCCACAAAGAGTTAAAACGAAAAACTATTTTTTTTAATTCTCTCATAGTGAAATTAGATCATTTATAACGTATTACAAATTTATTTTGAGATAGAGTTCTCCCGCAATGCGAATAGTAAAGCGCTACGAGGCGCGGGCCGATATATCGGCTCTGGCACTTCCCGCGAGTGTAGCAAGAGCCGATATATCGGCTCCCGGCACTCAAAGGGTTAATGTCCACTTCCTGATGTCTTTCGAGATACATGACCTATAATTATTTAAAACATGTATCAGTTCATTTATGACTTCTTTGCGTTGGTTTCCCATATCTAAGTCAGTCATAACTATAGGATCTGTCTTAGTCTCTGTTTGTCGCTGTACTATCCAAACTTGTCCTGTGTGTATCGTCAAATCTTTTGATA